CCCATTTAAGTTCATAAGAAAAAATAGAACCTAAATATAGTCAAATTGTATGAATAGATAATTTCACTAAAGATAAAAGTCGAAATTATTTTAAAATAAGAGTGTAATTATGGTTACCATTAAAATAAAAAAGCAGCCCTGGAATGCCATTTTACATGAAGTAAATCACCCAAAGTTTAATCACATACAAAGTGAGGAAGTTTGGTGAAAGTTGAATGCTCATGTATTGCTAGTAGCTTTATAAATAATTTCAATCTCTTGACATTAATTTGCCTATAAACTTGAAGTCAATAAGTATTTATACCATTTCATATATTGAGTATATTTCTCTTGTTTTAAGGAAAAAACATATCTCTAGTGTTAAAAATAAATGAGCACATCTGAAATGTTCTCACATACAGGAATGATTAAGGAAAAGACTAAGCATGCTAAATCTGTGGAATATTATATGGCCAGTAAAAATGAGAACTATATGAATTACATGGAAATATAGAATGTTTTCATGAAATGTTCAGTAAAAAATGAGGATGCATAATTACATATGTATTAGAAGAATATCTATGTGAAAATATGCTTACCTGGGGTGAATAAATACTAGATTAATATTTTTAAAAGTGAAAATAATTGTGCTTGAGTGGTAGGAATAAGGGTGTTTTTCGGGTTGAAAATGTCTTCAATGTTGTTATGTATTTATAAGGATGATTAATATAAATTACTAAGTAAGACAGCTGTGCTAACCCTGGGCATTAGTATTGCTTTCCAAATGTTACCATGTAGTCTGTCAAAATATGCCGCATCTTAGATGTGTATGTCTCAAGGTATTTTCAGTCTCCTTATTCTCCTTGGCCAGTTTTTTTAAACTTGGTTTGCAAATAAGAGAGTTGATTAGAACCGTGACGAAGAGGATGTTATGGAGCCTATAATATGTGTGGGTCTATTCTCATTCACTTTGCACTTATTTCTTTCCCATTTTAAACTGAGAAGCATCTTTAACATCCTTGGTGCTCAGTAAACTCCTGCTAAATATAATTGAGCTTTTGCCTACAGGAGGCAAAGACGCTCTGTCATGTGTAAAGGGGAAAATAGTGCAATAGTAGGAAACCTGTCTTCCAGTTGCATGACTCTGGGCAAGTGACTGTGACCCTCTGGACCCTGGTCTCCTAGTCAATAAAGGGAGAGTATTTGGTGGTCACTAAGGATGAGTCCAGGGCTGCAGATACATTAAAATATGCTGCCCTAAAGTGCTCCTGAAAGATCTGATTTACTGTGTTCACTGTCCCAACAGCACATATAGCTGAAGTGCTTCCAGGGTATCCAGGTCAACTCAGGAAGCGTGGCTCCTGGGTGCTGCAAGGAGTCACCCATTCAGCTACCTAAGTCTAACATTGTAGGCACATCTGATTTATTGTATGCAAACAACTGAAATAGACCCATTAGTGACAGCATTATCAAATATTACCTAATGATAAATTACTCCATTGTTTACACCATGTAACTGATGGAAATGCAAAGTTCAGATCTACCATATTTTGCTGTGTATAATGTGCACGTTCTGCCCACATTTTGGAGGGAAAAATAAGGATGTGCATTATACATGGCTAGTACTAATCCTGTATCTATATGTCTTTAATTCATTTATTAATGCTTATGCATTAAAAGTGTAATTCTAGAAAGCAATAATGATATCCATATACAAAATAATACACTGGAACATGATAATTAGTTTTGTTTCTAAAAGTAAATAAACAAAAATTGAATTAAAAAGTTAAAACAAAATATTTTTTTCCTGAATGTTTGGGCCAAAAACACAGCAAAATCTATTTAGATTTTCTTATGGAGCCAGAATTGACTGAGGTGGGGTTTTTGTTTTGTCTGAGAAATAAAACAAGCAGTTTGTTTTCTCAGTGTGATGAGGCAGACAATAAAAATAAATGGAAGGTAAGGAAGTTTAGACTCAACTGCTTTAATCAGGTTATAAAATTATTTTAGGGGTTGCACTGCTGTGTCCTATAAAAATTGAAAGGAACCTGTGATTATATCTCAACTGTCACTGTTCACTCCTAAGTAAATGAACATTTCTAAAGAATGTTGTATTGATGTTTGCACACTTGAGGCTTACCTGTTCAACAAGTAACTGATCTGTATCTTCTGGGGCTAATTGGGGGCAGTCATTTAATGGAATTAGCTAAACAGGAGACTAATATATTTTGTACTTGCTGCATTGGAAGTGTGATGTAAGGTGATGTATCACCATTGAAAAATTTCTAGATAATCTGAAGTCACTGGCCGCTCAGATAACCATAGTTAGATTGAAACTAGAGCATATTTGCTATGTTACAGGTGAATGACCTTTTAAAATACTCAATGACTGGCCATGCTCAAGTAATTTAAGTTCTTTTATGAAGCAAGAACTACATATTTTTAAAGAAAATCATACTTAACCTAAGAAATAAACAAAGACAGAAAGGGGACTGGTGGATGTATACTTTGGTACTGGTCGATTTCATATTATACATTGAAAAATTAGTGAGAAAGAATTTTTTAGAACTTAGTTTTTCATTGTAGCTGGCATTATATGCCAACTACAGATGTAAGACACAGTGGTTAGACATTTGTATACCTTACAAAGTGATCACCATGATAAGTCTAGTAACCACCTGACACATACATAGTTATTACAATATTATTACGCTCCCGGTGCTGTACTTTACATTCCCATGACTGTATTTATAACAGAAAGTTTGTACTTCTTAATCCTTTTCACCATTTTTGCCCAGTCCCCTGACCCCCTTCCCCTCTGGCAACCATCAGTTCGTTCTTGTTCTCTGTACCTACGAGTTTGTTCCTGTTTTGTTTGTTTATTTTGTATGTTAGATTCTGCATAGATGTGAAATCATACAGTATTTGCCTTTCCCTGTCTGACTTATTTCACTTAGCATGAAACCCCTTGAGTTTCATCCATGTTGTCACAAATGGCAAGATTTCATTCTTTTTTATAGCTGAATAATATTCCATTGTGTGTGTATCATATCTTCTTTGTTTACTCATCTATTAATGGGATACCTAGTTGGCTTACATATTTTGGCTATTGTAAATCATGCTGCAGTGAACATTGGGATACATATATTTTTTCAAATTAGTGTTAGAGTTTGTATACAAATACTCAGAAGTGGAATTACTGGGTCATGTGATAGTTCTAATTTTTAATTTTTTGAGGAACATCCATATTGTTATCCGTTGTGGCTGTACCAGTTTACAGTGTCCCCAACAATTCACAAGTGTTCACTTTAGTGAGAAAGGATTCTTAAGAATATTCAAGTTCATTCTGTACCATGAGAAGAAACCCCATTACTTTTTCTTGGAAAGTGACTTACATAAACCTAAGTTGGTAGATAGTATAATAACACAAAACTATCATGGAAAGAATTCAGAGATGATATTATGAATATAGCTACCAAATATTATTTGAAAAGAGGCTTTCTAATTCTTTCATGAAGGACCTGGAAAAATAAAAAATTATTTTTGCAGCTCTAGATGTTCAAATGTGAAGAATGACTATATCATTTTGTGTCATTTTGCAGTTCATTGTTTAGGTGCCTGTATTTGTTGAGAGAGTATAGTTTAAAATAACCAAGCCATTTGACATTTGTCTTGTCATACTTATGGCAAGAACCATAAAATAATAACAAAGACTACCACTGAATAAATAAATCTTTTGAGACCATACACAAACGAGTTTGCTAGATAACTATTTCTTGAATAGCAGTCAGACAGGAAGCTAGACATAGGTCGTCTTAGAACTGGAAACCTAGTTCCATGACTACTCTGGATTTCTATCTGGTTTGTGCAATAATTGCTATTTATCTTCATTGTTAGGAACAATTTTGTTTAGTTTTGTGTTTGAGCATCTCCCTTCCAATGGTGGATAGCAAATCTATCTCATCCTTTTTTTTTTAACTGAGATAATTATCAAGGAGTTTTTCTAGCACATGGAGTGGGACTGGGGGAGTGACAGTCTGCGGCTAATTTCAAATTGTATACTAAAAATCATGTATTTATGGTGTTAGAATAGGTTTGTGTACCTTCACTTGGATATGGTTGTATTTCACGTTAAAGTGCTAACTCTAGCCTGGGGCACCTGACTCAGGATTACTGCATTTTGCTGTGTGTAATGCACAAAGAGCATGGCTGTGTGTTATACATGGGGGTGCATTATACACGGTAAAATATGGGAGCTGGAAGCCGTCCAATTTTTTGTCTCATTCTTCTGGTCAACCCCCCCAGCATTCCAATTTGTTTTAGGACCTCACCAATTGAGATATAGCTTGCTTTCTCTCAGCCTTTCTTAGGGAGCTCAGATAATAATTTTATATTTGGGCTTCAGAAAAGGTGTACCTACTAGTAAAATGAATAAAATTAACTGATATTACTTATAAGTCATAATCAAGCTCTTTTTGGGTCTTTAGCAAACTCTTTCTGTGAGAGACAAAGTGTAACGTTTTAAGAATGATTTGAAAATTCATCTTAGTGAGTTCTCTCCAAATGATTAATCTGGGTAATAGTTCGTAGACCTTAACAGCTTTAAGGAACTGCAACTCACACATTTTTATTGCATTAATAAATTAATAAGAATCAAAAGTCATTTGTATCTGAATTCCAAAACAGTCATCTGTATCTTTCCCTCATGCCTAATTTTATTACCCTAACTGATATTATATACTCATCATTTCCATGTTCCAATCAGTACTGAAAATAAACTCTTCTGCTCTCATGCTGTTGGGCTAGTTTATGGTTTTCTCTATGCTTGAACATTCATTTTACCCCAAACTGAAAAATTTAATTTAATTGGCAGATGCTTTTGTTGTTTTGTAGTTTTAAGTAGTGTAGTAGCTGGGAGGCGCTACAACAATGATTTGATTTGACTTCTGTGTTACTAATGTATAAATCATATCATGCTGCTCTGATTTAAATACTATTCTTTGTTGTTTTTTCTTCATTAGGTGGAGTCTTTGATTTTTTTTGAAAGACGAAAGTAATCAGATCTACTTGAAAAATTAAGTGAATTGATTTGATTGGAACACTCTTACCAGTTTTTTAACATTCAGCAGTTGGGTAAGTTGAATCAAGTGTCTTCTATGTGGTTTGGTTTTAGAATTATTGGAAAGATCTCTCAAAGAAGCAATTAAGCTTTACATAAAAATTTGACAGTAATAATTCGAGGCCCTCAAAACCTGTGAAAGAAGTCTGGGATGCTGTCTAAATAAACATGTTGTTAAGTTTCTCCATATTTCTGGAAACTTCCTGTTTCAAAGGATGAGATTACAAAATGTTGTCATTTATAGTTTGGAACCAGATCTCTCTGTTTACTCTTTGAATGATTATTTGCTTTTAATATTTGAGGTAATGTGAAACTGTCAAATTTCACTCACAGTGAGATGTTTGTGTGTGATTGTGCTGTATTGTGTCAGAGTCAAATGTAAGGTAAAGTGAATAAATCGGTAACTCTTTTTATTTTAAACCATTAACATTGTACAGAAATCTTTGTTTCTGTGATAGGAATAGATATCTTCAGGACTGTCTCAATTCAACTTCCTTATTGCACTGTTTTTGCAAAAAGCTCTTGAGGTAGAAAACTGCAAACCAGGAGGAGTTCAGGCTTTTAGAAAATTATTGGTGCTGCCAAGCCAGCATTTAGTGTGAACAGGACTTTGGCTACTGTTAAAATGTCAGGAGAGTAAAACCTGCTCTGTCAAACAGATTTTTGGCATCAGAATTCTAAATGATACTGATTTTAAGGTTTGGTAATTTTTTAAAATTCCAGGCAAACTCATGTTTTAATTAACCCTTTACAGAGTAACAGAAAATTTGGAAAAAAACTGTATTCTTCAATCACAGGATTTGAGCTTCTGAAATACTAAATTTTATTCACATTTCTGAATTGTGCAGCTTGATTTTCCTCTGAATAAATTAGAGCTACTTCAAAACATGATGAAATATAATGAATAAGAGAGGAAAGTGTCTAATCACGTGGGGAGCAGACTTCGAAACTAAACTAATAGTATCTGCTTTACCTGTGGACATGTTAAGACATGATGAGGTCAGATGGTTTTTCGGGGAGACAGTTGCATTGTTTATACAATGCCGATGACAACTGCCTTCCTTTTGTCTAAAAGAATCTCTCTTGAAGCTATTGTCCTGGAACTTGGTTTGTTAGTGCAGCCTCTGAACATCCAGTGAGTGTGGAACCAGCAAGTGTGGAAACCCCGGGAGTCTTTTCATTTGGCCTATAAGGTTCATGACCCTCGGGTCACAGATTCATTTGTGACCAATAATTTCCATTGTTATGGGCACGTGGTGCCATTCGGAAACTTTTGTGGATAATTAAAGGAACACAAGGAAGTTAGAGGAAAAACCCATCAGGAAGAGAAATGTCAAAAAGAGTTTCAAAAGCAAAGCCGTAATTTCTTCAATAGCTATAATAGATGTTCGAAGATGAAAATTAATACTCTGGGCCACTAACTTAGATGGCTTTGTCTGCCACATTTTATTTTCCATCTGCTCCCAAGGTTGGCTTGTACAATTATTCCCAAAGTACCCTACAGTGTTGCACTTGTCTGGTTGGCAGGACCTGGTTTAAATTATGTTTAGGAGACTGTTCTGTCCGTGCCTCCTGAGGACAGACACGACCTGGGCACCGGGGATGGCTGGCCTCTTCCTTGCTTATTGCACTGGGAATTCTGGAAGGCTCTGGTGAAGTCAGCTCATTGGGGTCACTGTGTTTTAAAAGAATTGTTTCTTTGAATTAAATTAGGATGCTACTTCATTCATAAGATTATATGAGGGTTAAGTTCCTGAAAGGTAGTGGGGACTCAGTAACTGGTAGTGATTGTGATGGTAGTGATTAATAGTGGTAATGGTCACAATCATTGTTTAAACATGACCATAATTATATTTTACTAACCATGTGACTAGTTCTTTAGCCTATCATCATGGACATAACCCATGGAGATGAGTACATTTTCTCAATTAAACCAAATACTTATTTGGGCAAGGAAACATTTCACATGAAATTGGTAAGCTCTTCTCATGCTGTGTATGCCTCGCGTGATCAGCAGTCCCTTGGGGATTTATCTGTTCGCCTGGCCTTGTCCATTAGCCCAAATGAGGATTTTTTAAATAATAAATTTTAAAAATGTGTCCAGTGTTCCCCATTCCAAATTAGTAGTAAATACAAAACAGTTTGCAAGAAGGAAAACCCTCACCATTAGATTACTCTTCCTTGTATAGTACTTTTTTTTTAAAGATAGTGAATGCAAATTATATTATCTATAAAATAATATGGCTTTTTATATTCTGCCATTTCCCTTCAAGTCACCACCAGTACTTTGACTTACCTTGACCTTAGTCATTTTAAGATAATATTAGCTGAACTATGAACTCTTAACTATCTCCTCAGTTTTATATGCCCTCATGGCATTGGAGGTAATTATTTAAGAATTGTGTAAGTGGTATTTCTTCTTTAAGCCTAGAAAAGAGGAGAGAGAAGGTGAAAACTATTAGCTTTCATTGGGCATGTTCCACAGAGTCAAGTTCTTGCTGTAGCTGCTAAATTGTTCCAAAGTAAGAATTAAAAACCCACATTCATTTGAGGAAATAGGGTTTCAGAGCAGTAATTACTTTGTTGAGAATTACACGGTTATGACAGTAATTTTTGGAATCAGAAGTTATTCGGTCTTACTTTAAATTAATATATCTGAAATATTTTATTTTCTGTGGAGATTGCTGTATTTTGTGATGTCCCAAACGCATTGTTCATCCACCCATCTGCTCCTTTTTCTTCTGTTATTGCCTTTTGATGTTTGTTTGTGTGTTTGTTTTTTGCCATTACTTACACCAATATGGAAAATAGAAAACTTGTAATTCTTTCTACTTGGACCATTTTAGCAGGTCTTATAAAGATCTGATAAGTTTGCAGATAAGATCTGCTATCTGTTCTCTATGGTTTGGTATACCTTTTGCTGCTATTACATATAATACAGAGTATACCTTGTAAAGCTGTAAGGTGTTGTGACCTTCAAAATGTTTCCTTTTACATAGGGTCATTTTTATAGCTGTTTAGGTGTATACAGTCCTTCTCTTTGGGTTCTCCATATTTTAAGGTGACTTAATAGAGTTGCAGTATTTCTGATTATTACTAAACTGATGTGAAATGTTTGGACGCTTATGGCCAACTCATAAGGACAGTTGTCTGTTTTTCCATTACAGTCTGAGTGAGTAGAACCCCTTGCTGCTAGGCGCACGGATTGATTTCCCCCAGTTTTTTCTTACCCTCTTCTATAAAAATTGACTCTTCCTGCGTTGTTTTCAAGCCTGTCACTCAGCTGTACCTTGATTCCCTTATACATTCTATACCCGTTTATGAATTCATCATTCAGTCAGCAGGCATTCATGAAGCCAGTGGTACCAGCAAAAAGCATTTTGCTCCACGAGCATTCTGTAGCCATCTGAAAATCTGACTGTGGGTTGCTTTTTTATCATTTCATAGTATTCCCTCCTGCCTGTCATTCCTCCCATCTCCTCTCCTCAGCTTGCAGCGTAGGACGGCTGTGTGGAGGAATCTCTCATCTCACCACATAAAACCTACACAGTGCAACTTAGTGATCCTACTATGCCTCATTTCTCTGATGAACTGAAATTTGGGTACTGCTTTACAGTTTACAAATGGCTCCAATGTGACTTTATCTCACTAAAGGCAATAGATACTATATAGATATGACTCACATTTTGTTTTGTGTATGAAGAAGTAGAGGCTCCTTGGGGTTACAACTTAATGATTTGCTCAAAGTTACAGTATCGGTGAGTCGTAGAACCAGAATTCTGTTTTCCTCACTTCAGACAGCATGCCATGTTGGCCGGCAGGGTTCAAATATCAGAATTTTGTTGATGTGGTCACTGTATTCTGTTTAGTATGAATCATATAAGGAAACAGAAGCCGTATTGGAGTTTGGGGGAAGAGTCACAGCTCTTTAATTCAGGGAATTTTGGGGGCATCCCACCTGTACCTTCCTTGGTAATACAAACTCTTAAGTTCACCCAGTCACTGCCCCTGTTCTGAGAATCTCAAACTTCAAGCAACAGCTTTATAGACCAGGACTGGTCTGTGGAACTCTGATTCCCTTGGCAATTATAGGTTTCATCATAAATGACTAAATTGGGACTTGGACAAAATCGCCCACTTAGAGATCTTCATGTTTCATCTCTTTCCTCTCCAAGTCATTTTAACACTTGACGTTTCTCCCCTGTCATTCCTTGTGCGTATATATCTGTGCCCATGCTTTATAGGAAATGATTTGGGGGAGGTTTTTATCTCACACACTGCGCTGCAACAGCTCACAGGCGAAGACTCTGTCTTCCTTTTATCCGTGTCCTCTTCGACCCTGAAAATGGTGATTGGAAAAAATGGTAACTATTCAATAAATATTTGTTTAATTTAATAGAAATATTTGGTTGTGTGTTTTCTTTTACAATTTATTTGGGGACTGCAAATTGATATCTGGGCACAGACTTAATTTTAATCATATTAGTGAGATGAATCAGCAAGTCTGATACTTATTAAATTATCCAGAGCAGAGCCATAAGGACAAATTTATGTGCTTTTTTAGTGTTCTTTTCGAATGCAAAAAAAAAAATCCTTCTTACAGTGAAATAACAAAAATCCCTTCCCTAACCAAGACAAGACAAAGATTCCCACATTTCACTTACAAACATGTTTCATTGTCTTTATCTTGACTGCGGGGACAAAAACAATTGACCTCTGATGAGATTCACTGAGAAAAAGGAGAATGTGGCCTCTGAATCTAAAGGCTTCCTGGGAGCTGATGTGGAGCTGCAGCTAAGGCTACGCATTTCACATTTCGTCTGGCCCGCAGTGGTGGGAAGCCCCTGAACATTTCTGAGCAGCAGAGTGATGGAGTCAGAGCTGCACTGGCGGAAGACGGCTCCTGCCAGGTTGTGCTGAGTGGCGTGGGGGTGGAGGTGAGGGTGGGCTGAGTGGGTGCTAGAGTTCCTGAAGGCACAGAAGACATTTAGGAGGCACTTACATTAATTCACAC